ACACACGGCTCCTCGCTCGGTGTTGAACCCACCAGCTGCCGCAGATGACGGGTACCGGGCACTGTGGTGCAGCACTCGAGGTTGAATTTGTCCTCCCCCCCTTTCATTGTTTCTCCACACTCTTCATTTTCAGAGCATGAAATGGTTATTTTTCTCCCTGAAATCCTACCAAATGGAAAACAGTTGGCTGCTCAGAAGGGACAAAATTAAATTTTGTGGGGTAAACAAGGTTGCTAATTAGCTGATGTGCTGTGCAAAGTTAATTTATTCCCAACACGTCACGGTGCCAGTGCTGCCTGAAGAGCCTGTGCCTCATGGCTCAGAACAAGCCACAGGGGTGGCCCTGCCGGGGCCAGGAGCCGGGACCCAAACCAACCCGTAACGGGGCATTTTTGCCTTCCCATGCACAGGAAGAGCCCTTTGTCATGTTCCGTAAGTCGGACACGGCCCTGTTCGGGAACGACCGCTTTGAGGGTTACTGCATCGACCTGCTGAAGGAGCTGGCCATCATCCTGGGCTTCACCTATGAGATCCGGCTGGTGGAGGACGGGAAATACGGGGCGCAGGACGAGAAGGGGCAGTGGAACGGGATGATCAAGGAGCTCATCGACCACGTGAGTGAGGCCTGGGTGCAGGGCGAGCACCCGCGGCTCTGCCCGGGCTGTCCCCAGGGATTTCTGCCTGGGGGGACGGGTGCCCCCCGCTCGCTGGCTCGGGATGCCTGCAGCGAGCTCCTGACCCCACCTGAGCTCTGCGCTGCACCATTTGTCTGAAAAGTATCTCTTTGCGTGGCTCTTGCAAATACTCACTTGGAGTTTCTGAAAATGCACATTCTCACAGCACAGAAACGGGTTCGTTCCGTGGCTTCAGGCACAGACCCTCCCCTCGAGTGCCTGCTCTGCCCCTGGCAAACACGGGCCAGCACACACCACCGAGGGGGCTCAGGGACCCTACACATGTCCCAGACACAGCTCAGCTGAATCCAGATGATGTATCCAGATTGCAAGAGCAGGTGTGCAGGGAACAGTTTAATATATTATTTTTTAACAAAACCAGACCCACAGCTTATTTTCTAAAATCCCTTGGGGGACAGAGCTCCCCCTGCAACAGAGCAGCTGTGATTTTCCTCCCACAGCCACTTCTAAAAGCCCATTAAACACCACTGAAATGGCCGTGGCGGCTTTACTCTTGCAGCTGCCCAAAAAGTCACCTCGTCTGAAACCTCAACTCCTGGCCAGAGGTTGCTCAGTTTCCTAATTAGATATTTTGCCTCCAGCACTTCCTGTCATCCCTGAAGCCCAGCTTGGGAGGTGAGGAAGGCTGGTGCTTTTTTAGGAATCTCTGATTCCCAGAAAAGGTCTCCGGAAGAAAAGATGAGGCCAGAATTAATCTCTGATCTCCGGGGCACAGGCAGTCCTGGAGCCGTAACACAGCGCTCTCCTCCTGAGCGTCCTGCTCAGGTGGGGCAGCCCTTGGACCAGCCCTCAAGTTCCTGGCTACATTTGGAAAACCTTGCCTAAGCAGAAAAGAGACAAAAATAATCCCACGTACGTAGCAGCTGTGATGTTCTCACAGTTGAGGTGAGAAGAATGCGTTTGCTGGGTGAGTCACGGCAGCAAATGAGCCCCCTGCGAGCACAGAGCAGCCCCTGCCCGGGCTGAGGCTGCGCCGGGGATTGGGCTGCGGAGCCGCGGCTCGGGGAGCGAGGTTGTGTTTCTGGATTTGGCTTGTCTGCCCTAAATGACACTGGACAAGTTGCTTCTGTGCAAAGCTTCCTCCATCTGTAAAATGCAGATGATAACGATTACGCCCCTGACAGGGACGCAGCGATGCTCGATCAGTTTGTGAGGAGCGCCACGGTCCTTCGGCGGCTCGCCCCAGGGACGCATGGCAAGGGCACGCAAGGACAGCCCTTGGGGAACCTGCCACGGGCTGTGCAAGCCCACCTCTGCACCTTCGCTTCCAGCAAACCCCACACAGCTCAAAACACAGGTTCTGTAGTCTCTTACGCAACAGCCTTGCCAAGTTAGACAAGTGACAGCATCCCAGCAGAAGAGACTGGTGCTTTGATGCCCCGAGGGATGTGTGTGACACAGCTGGGAACCGACACCCAGCCCAGGCTGTGCCCCGGGAGCAGAGCGTCTGTAGGGCAGGGCTCTCAAGAAGTAGCTCCAAAGCAGGAAATAAGATACAGGGAATAGAGGCCACTCCAAACCACGCCACTTCCAATGTCCTGCAAGATGTTACAGGGCTCTCGAGAGGGTTTCAGCCTTTCCCAGAGCTGTGGTCAGCCGAAAGAGACGGACCAAGAAGGAGGTACTGGGAACGACCTCACTAAGCGACATGAAATTCATGGTCAACCTGCATCAAAGTATTTCTTCGTTAACTATTTAAAAAGCAAATTAACTTAGGGCAACAGGAAAGGACCAAACCCCCTCTTCTTGCAAGTCTTCCTGCAGCATCAAGTTTGAACTCAGCTTTCTACAAGGCCTGGTTGGGTGATTTACAACCACTGCCCAAACCCCCTAAGAGGCCATTATTTTCTGTATCTGCATGTCATTGCTTTTTATAGCAGTGTTTATGTAAAGCATTAAAAAGTGAAACTGCAACCAGATGGGGCCCTTCCTCAGCAGCCAAGCCTCTTCAAACCACGTGGGGAAAGGAACAACTGATTGGCACTTTGCAATGGGAAAGTTCAAACCGATTTCACACCTAGTAGGAAAAGTGTTGGAGACAGCATTCAAACAAAGTTGTAGTGATGAAAACAGGGCTGCCCACACTGCAAGTTTAATACCTGGGCTGGCTTTCCTCTGTGTTCAGTGTCTTCTCCTCATAAAAGAACTGGGATCATTCCGGTGGGAGCCTAGAACAGGTGTTTCAGGGATGCGGGTGCTGACCACGCAGAGGTGTAAGTCACAGCGTGAGTGACAGAGGACGGGCTGGTTACACAATGAGCTCTCGTGGCTTGTTTTGGAGTCATGCGTCCCCCTCCTTCCCCGTCCTCTCTGATCCAGACGTGCCTGGCCACAGGCAGCGATGCCTTAGGCTACGAGCCTTTGTGAAATTGCTTTTTTTCCAGTCTGGCCTTAAGCATAAACAGGAAAAGCAACAGCAGTCGGAGCAGCTCACGGCATGACCCCGTCTTCCAGGTCCCCAGCAGCAGACCTGGACAACACAGCCTCGTGCGGTTACATGCATGAAGTCCTGACCCGCTGCCTTTCATCTGCTGCTTGTCCTGCACCACAAGCCGAAATCCTTGTTTTGGAGGAGTTCAGTCCATTCCCTGGAGAACCAGACTCTCCTCGCCGCGGTGGGCTGCTTGTTGGCATTCTCCCTGGCCTCAACCACATGGGCCAGGAAAGCTGAACTCGCCCCCAACACTGGCACCAGGTGATGCAGAGAAGCTCCAGTGCCCTGCATCCCTCACAGATCTCCTCCTTTCATCAGCAGTGAGCTGTTATTGATGTTTATTCACAGAAATTATTATTGATACAAGCAAAGCTACACTGCACACTGTGGCCTGTCCATTCTGATTCATAAATTCTAGGTGTCTGGCAAAATAATGCCTGCAAATCTTGCCTATTGTTTGTGGGCAGAATCACATAAAACCAGCTGAATGAGATGTTCAGGGCATTTTGCGCAAACTTGTTCGCAAATAAAACTTGCCTTCTGCCAAGACAGTGCATATCAAATTTCCATTCAATCTGAAACTTCATGTGGGAATAAAAAAGATATGAAAAATAATAGGGTTTCTAGTGGAAATCCCTGCCAATGGAAACTATAGGAAAGATGTAATATCTATCCTTAGGGACAATTTATGACAGTTGATTTAACACTTTCACAATAAATGGGCATTTATTGACAGTAAATTCTGGCAGAAATACATATTGCACCACGTTGCCACATTCCCATTAATGTTCCTGCACTGGTGGATGCCAGTTTCAAGTGCTGTGACCTGGGGAGCCATCTGGAAGCCACCAGGCCAGGAATAGGAAAACCACAGTTCTGTTGGCCGAGGTGTCCTCCACCTCTTGTCCAGACGCTGCAGGAACCCAGCGTTAGGGCGGAGATGGAAACAAGCCACAGGTGGTGGCAAAGAGACCAGGGGATCAAAGCGTCGATGCTGCAGACAGACACCTGAATACCAACTGAATACGCAAAATACGCGATTTACCCGTCGCTCCGGCAACGCACACACAATTAGTTTATGTAAATACCTGACTTGGGCTGACAAAATAAGCACAGAGGCAGCTTATTTTCTTGAATCAATATTTATCTCGGTGCTTATGCTGTTTGTGGGCTCCACTGCGACCGACCATCACATGGGGCTTGGCCGCCGCCAGATTTGCACAGCGACTGCGCGAGAGCTGCGCCGACCTGCCGGCCACGTCCCCGCCAGAGCTGAGAAGCTGAACATAAGACTTAGCATTTTCTGATGAAAGCCAAGTATCTCTGCAGAGAATGCAACCCTCCGTCCCCTGAATGCCCGGTGAACTCGCATCAGTTCCACCCGTAACACTGGGTGAATGAAGAGATCCAAACCCTTCAAGGTGTGTTAGAGAAGCATCTGTGTTTGTGTGTAGCTCTCTTGGCAAAATTCATCTTTTTGGCCTCAATTCAGCAGAGCACTTAAGAACAGACATACGACTTGGAAGGCGTGCAAGCTCCAGTAAAACAGAAGCGTGTGCTTAAGTGGTTTTGCTGGACAAGGGCCTTTAAGCCACTGGAACTTGCTGTAATTCCTCATTTTTAATAAAACCCATCTCGCTGTGCAACAGCATAAAAGTTGGGGTTGAGTGAAGGAAACAGTCAGGGCCCGATAATTGACTTCCTGGTTTGTAATGTCAAAGCACAACAAATGAAAGCTTCACCCTTGGTGGGTTTTGATTTAGATCCTCTCAGTCAGCAAACTCTTAATTAGAGGCCACCTTCAGAAAAATCTGCATTGATAAGAAGGATGTGGAAGCGCAGCCCCGACTGCCTTCGGCAGCCCCAGGCTGGGCTCTTCCTGCCCGTGTGGGGCATTTACTGCCAAGGACTCGGGGCTGCAACCGACTCACGGGAGCTGCTGAAATGACACAGTCAAGTTTTACTCCTGCACTAGAAGGGTTCTGATCCTTGGGCATCCATGCAGATTTCTCTCTCTTCATTTCCTGTGCTAAAACATAAACTGGCTGTTACCTGCCTTGCTGGAGCGCTTTGACAATTCGCCTTAGGATCTCTCAGGCAGGCAGTCGCCAGCGAGGGCTGACCACAGAACCGACCGTTTGTTTCCTCCTTCAGAAAAAAAGGTAGCGGGGGGCCATGCTTTGGGGGGTTTTGGCCCCCGTGTGACTGCTGGGGGGTCTCTAAGGGGATGGAAATGCCTCGGTTGCCAATGCCTTCTCTCTCTCTCCCTCTGTGTCTCCCTCCCTCGGCGCTGCACGCAGAAAGCGGACCTGGCCGTCGCTCCCCTCACCATCACCCACGTTCGGGAGAAAGCCATCGACTTCTCCAAGCCCTTCATGACGCTGGGGGTCAGCATCCTGTACCGCAAACCCAACGGGACCAACCCCAGCGTGTTCTCCTTCCTCAACCCCCTGTCTCCCGACATCTGGATGTACATCCTCCTCGCCTACCTGGGGGTCAGCTGCGTGCTCTTTGTTATCGCCAGGTAAGGGGATGCCGGTGCCACCCACCCGACTGCCATCGTGCCACGTCTGCTGCCACACCACGAGGCACCGTCCCCACGCCCAGACCCGTCCTGCTGCCCCGTGTGCCGCGGGGATCCCCCCAGCCCTGGGAGCCTCAGCGCTAAACCCGGGTCCTTACTGAGGCTACTTCTGGTCACCAGCCAAAGGCAGACCAAAGGCGTGGGGCTGCACCAGCGTCCCCTGCCCTGCGCTCTCGCGGACCCGTGCCTCAGAGCGGGTGCAGAGGTGATGCAAACCCCGCGGTGAAAATCGCAGATGAGCTATGCACAGGGGAGATTTGTTTCCTTCCTGGCCAGTCAGAGCCTGCGATACACCCTCTGTGCTGCTGTACCGCACCGAACGTGCTGGCGTTTGTTAACAGAAACCCGTAAGCCTCTTCTGCCATAGCGGGGCAGGCAGCTCCGCGGATGCAGTAGCCTTCCAGTATGGAAGAATTTTCATATGCACTTTCTTTTACGATTGTAGGAATGTTATTGCGGTTCCATTTCATTCTAACCTCTGATATAAAATGAAGGGTAATTTTCCTGCTCTGTACCGTCCACCATTCATGCTCCTGTTAGGTGACTTTGGGCAGAGGCCCAGCCTCTCCGCGATGTCCAGACACAAAGCTCCCGTGTCCTGCACCACCTTCAGCTCCTGCCTCTGAACCCCCCACCAGCAAAGCTCCTGCAAACCCTTCCCTGTATCAAAAGAACAGAGAACCCTACAGATCGGACAGTGTGTCTGTTTACAAATTAATATGCATCTAATTAGCATGTTTAAGATCTCTGTATTTAAAAGCAGCAGAATTTGCATACATTTGCATGTGTTATTAATTTCACGGAGTCTTTGATGAGACGCACAGTCCAGGGCTGCTCTCAATTCATGATTCCACTTTCCAAACCAAACCAAAGCACTCGCCTGCTCCTCCCGGCAGCCGCCCTCCCTGGCCAGCACAGCCCTCTGAGAGGGCACGTTTTGCATAAACACCACGTGGGGGGAACTTCCCTAAACTCTATCAGCAGGTAGACACTTGTTTCTCATTTCTTCCAGTTCAAGTTATGCCAATGGTGCCTTCAGAAACCTCCCTGCTGACCCTGCACCTTGGACGGGGACTCTGTGCAGAGCCCGGGCTGCCAGGCTGTACCTGAGAGCATCCTTCAGAAACCGCCTTCTACCTAATCCACTGGCATCCATCAGATAGACCGAGCAAAGATTAAATACGAAACCACAGCAACCAGAATCCATTAACCCTCATGTTACAACAAATCTGCAATTTTCCACATCCCTCAGGTCCATGGAGGCATTTAGAGATGATTTCCCGAGTTTACTATGTAATATCCTAATTACACATAACAGCAGTTGTCAAAGTAAACTCGGCTTAGCAGACAGCATTAGTGTTCCAAACCATCTGGGATGGCAAAGCAGCTTCATCGTCCGATCCTTCCTCTGCGGCGGTGCCGAGCCTGAGAGGCTGCACTTCGCTCTCAGAGGACGCAGAAGGCTCTCCATGGTCACGGTTTTAACTGCGATCACTCTCCTCGTTCGCCTTTGCAAGGCATCTCCCCGTAACGGCCCCGCGCCAGGTGTCCAGCCCCTTCCCCGAGGTGCCACAAGCTGTCTGGGCACGGCTGGCTTCGCGTGCTGCGTTTGCACGGTGCCCCCCGGGCTCTGGCCTGGCAGAAACCCGACCGAGCCGCTCGTTTCGGCAGTGGTGCAGCACACGGGAATGGCAGCGCTCAACGCTGCGCTATTTGTAAGAGGATGAGAGTCCCGTTACCGTTAGCACATCGCTCTGCCCCACAGCCCCTCCCCACCCTGGCTGAAGGTGTCATCCTGCCCCTGCTGAAGCCCCCAGGGGCTCCAGCGGAGCAGGACGAGGTCCCTCAGGGGTTCTGCTTTGTGTCAGAGAGAGGGGAGAATCAGACGCTCTCAGCAGGGAAAGGCTCTCATCTGGGAAAATGAACCCGAGGTAATTACGAAAAGGAAAAAACACAGCGATGACTGATAGGACTCCTTCACTTTCTGTCTCCGCTAGCCATGCAGAACACAGCGAGATGGGCTCTGCTGCCGGAACGTCATTGGCTTTAGTCATAAAGCATTAGACCGCTTGTGTGGCTTGGAATGACAATTCAAATACAATTTTACATTTATGAGCTTATTTTTCCCAACTCACACGATGGGCAAGTCCAGCCCCACATGTGAAATTCATTGCAGCAAATACTGAGGAAAGGCTGGAGGAAATGCTAGGACAGCCCCTGATGTGAGAACACCTTGGCCTCTGGTTTTGTTCTGACATGACCTGAAATGAGCCCCAGAATGTCTCTGCATTGTCACCGCTATAACACAACAGGGTTTCCCTATCAGGCTATTTTTTTTGGCTGAAATTGAACCCATACAATATTGCAATTGCAGTTTCTTTTCCACATGCCTTGCTTCTGACATTTCCTCTGCCGCCTTCTTCTTTCGAAGAACACCAAGTATCCGGTGTAATTAAGGTTCTGCAGGAATCATCTTTTAACACATGGAATCATAGAATTGTAGAATGGCCGAGGCTGGAAGGGACCTTAGAGATCATTTAACCCAACCTCCCTGTCATGGGCAGGGACGCCTCTCAACTAGATCAGGCAACACATGGGGACCGAGCGGGGATCGAACCCGCGACCTTGGTGTTATCAGCGCCACATAGAGATGGAAAGGAAGAGATTTCATGGGGAAAATACTTGCTGCATTCAGAAGTAATGGAAACAATATCTGCTTTTGACCCCAGCAAGGCCTCTAAAACTCAAATCTCAGGAGAAAACCACAGTGAAAGTAGCAAAGCCTTAATTCAGAGACATGAGTCTCCTGAACTAGGCACCAGAGTCCTCGGCTGATGCTATAATCATAGGTCAATGTCACTTAAAACCAACTTAGGGACTATTTAGAGGCAGGCAAAGGATGTATTTGATCCATTTCCCCTTTAATCAGCCCTTCTCTGTTATTGATGGAGCCTCTGATCCTAACCACCCCAGCCCCCAAAGAGCCATAAACACCAGCAATTTGTGAGCTTCGTGGGGGTAATTTTCCTGGTGACTCCGGTGCGAGGTTGTGAGCGGGCTGGCTGACGGGAACAGCCACCCACCCTCAGACTCACTCGGCCTTCAAATTAAAGCTAATCACCTTCGGGGGCACAGCGGGGCGGGGGGTTTAATACTCGTCCTAATTGCAACGAGGAGTGGGTCATCCGCAAGAGATTTCTCTGGAGATGCAATTTAGACTCAAAAGTATTTTGTGTTAGATCTCTAATCCTCCTTTGAAATGCTCCCCTGCTTCCCTGCCAAAAAGGCCAAGAAAATAATCATAGTTTTTGATGAAATATTTCTCAGGCCCCGTTGTGCACCTGCGGAAGAGGGAAGGCAGCCCCCGGTGAATCCCGAGCAGCTCCCGTGGCTCCGGTTGTACGGGGCCAGCGAGCTCCGCCAGCTCCTTCCTTTGCCACCCTCTGCTTGTGCCCGCAGTCCCGCTCGCTTGTCAGGCACAGAGACTCTCACTGCTTTGCAGCTCTCTGAATATTTCCCTGTAATTTGAGCCGCACAAGTAGGCTTTCACTCAGAAATCTTGAAGTTCTTCAGTTCGTCATCTCGTCAGGCTCATTTGATCTCACCAGTTCTCTTTCTCTTTCATATTCTTTCATTGGCGGATCAAGAACGTTTTCATCTAATTCTTGAACTCTGGCTTTATTTGGCAGGACAGGCTTAGGCACCACGCTTTATGCATCTCTGCTACAAATCTGCAGCAAATTTCAAGGAAAAGGCAGTGTGTAAAGCCGTGCCCTGCACGGTTCAGGGGACCACAGCTCCACGGTCACCTAACGTCCCCGAGCGGGGTCTCATGCTGCGAGTGCGCAGAGCAGAGGCTGAGAGAGATCTGTGGCTCTGCTCTCCAAATCCACCCGACTGTCTGGCTGAGGGCACCCATGAAACGAAGCAACAAGACATCTCCTCGGGTACCAGCTCATCTGGCAGAGAATTACAGGGAGAAATATCTCCTAACACACGCTGTGGGCTGGGCTTTGAGGAAGGGCTGTTGTGAAGCTACAGGGATTCCAGAAGGAAGCGGAGATGATAATTAATGCCTGGTTCAAAAGCAATTATACCAATTATGTTTTTAATTTAATCTCTGCAAAATTTGGGACTCTTAGAAAATGTAAATAAACAGCTCTAAAAATATTAATGTCTCTCCTGTTGAGCATCCTCCTTGGATTCTGGCTAAAAGCGCTACATTCACAGCGGTGCTTCCCTACCAGTCCTAGGCAGGATTTGCAGAGAGATGATCATAGATATTTTCCTTGGTTTTGCCCAAGACCTACAGGGCTGTCCATGTCCTGTTCTTTTAGGATCTCCTCATACCACATCCCAACTAACCAGCTCTCGCTTTCCGTGTGCCTCCATAGGTTCAGCCCATACGAGTGGTACGATGCTCATCCCTGCAACCCGGGATCAGACATCGTGGAGAATAACTTCACCCTGCT